GTTAGCATGGTAATCTTGTGTTCAAATTAAAATAAATCGATAAGCTTCTTGTGCAGTGTTGTTATTGTAAGCAAGAAGTGAATAGAAGGCTATCATATCTCCTTCGAAGAACATTATTTCGTATTTTGGAACAAAAGAAATCTGGGACTGTAAGTCATAGTGATAGGTTATTGAGACACAATGCTGACAGTGAAAGGCACATTGCTAGACTATTCATATAGATTGTAATAAATGTGTCTGTATTCTGGTTCACTCGTAATTCTGTGCACTTGAACATCTTGGAGACACACTTTTTAGCACATCCTATTTTACTCTATACGTTGATTTTCTTAGTTCAATACAAAGTTAGAACACGACTTTTGATAAACGAAAACTGTGTTACACTGATTTACCTTGTAGCCAGGCACCTGAAATTAACATTTGAAATATCAATTCTGAATCATGACGAAATCGTAAACAAGGAATTGTTTATTTGTGAATATTTTTTTCAATTGCAGCTTGACTCCACACTGTATGTTTTCGTACAAGTATGGAATTTTCAGCATGTGATATCGGTAGCCCAAATTTTGCAGTCCGACTATAGATATCAGGTGTGCGTCCTCAGGGGATCGAACCTCGGACCATGTGCATGGTCGGCGAGAGTCCTAACCACTGTGCCACCGACGCACATTAGTGTCAGATTACCAATATCAGTGAGAAAATTGGATTTTAGGTTTGTAGACTGATTACATGATACTGAAACCGCCTACATCAATACAGCTTCACTTTATGCAGCATGAACGTTTGTAGACATTTCTTATCATGGAATCCTTTTACAAAGTACCATAAAAAACTGCAAAGTAGGCATATAGGTGATTGGTGAATATTAAAAAGGAGAACTGTCTTTTTTGACTGTACAATTAAAAATTAAAATTCTACTTTTTTCCTGATGTGTTGTACTCTGCATTCTGTGATTTCTGCCTTTCGTGGTGAGTTGGTTGTGTCCTCCGTGTATGCGTTTGGACTTTTGTATTATAGGTGTGATCTATCCTTTCTTTACCATATCTCAAAATTATAATGATAAAAGATGTATCTGAATCCTTATTCTCATACAGTATTTTTCCAATGAGTTCTCCCAATGTGAATGGTATTTAGTCTAAATAATCCATCTGCGGTAATAACAGTCATTATGTAGACATTTCTGAGAGCTCTGCTTTCATCACTAAGTCTAGCGTGATTTTTACTGAATATCTTTCTTGCGGAAAAACCGCCTACATGGATGAAACTACTACTATAGTTTTCGATAAAGAAAGGAAGACGAACTTCGCAGTATAACATCATATCATTCTATTTCACAGATTCTCATCAGCTGCAGACTACCTGAAATTACAATGGATTATATAGTTGATAATAACATACCTTAATGTTTAAGTGGTAGTAGAGAAGAAATACTATAAAATCGACTCATCCAAAATGTTACCATTACAATTTTTAGTTTAAGTTTTCATAATCAATTTACACGCTCTCAAAGTAGGAAAGCGGGGTGAGGGGTGAGTCAGAAAACAGAGAAAAATTGACAAACAGTGTTAGCTTGTAGGTTCACATAACAATTTAACAAAACAAAAACGGTCATAGTTTATAAGATTGAGATTTGCTCAGTGAGTTGAGATCACTGAATTAGATGACTAATTAGTGTAATCAAAATCAAAATTCAGTTACCAAGGGAGTGAGAGATTAATCACACTCTCTTTCTGTATGCATAAGTCTGTGTTTGAATCGTTTGATTGCGATCGCTTCGACAAATCGTAGTAAATTCGCTATCCTTGGTCTATTAGTAATTCGAAGGACTTAGAAATCTCTGGGTATATATGAGATCTCGATAACCAATCTTCGTCCATGCATAAAGCCGAACATGATTTAATCTGAACTACTATCCCTTATACTGACTCCAGTTATCACAATAAACATTACTAGTAAGATGGCTTGTTTAAACAGATGGGTGAACAAAGGCGAATCGGGCAAGTGAAATTTGTTAGTGATAGCAACCAGTATTAGCTGGAATACAAAAAATCAATGACCAATCTCACACAGGCAGTCCCATTCATCTATCAGTTGTATATATTTGAATGATGTTTGGCCGCAGAATGAAAAACTTTCAGTCAATGGACTAAAAGTTTCTTAAATCAAGTATATTTGTTTATTTCCATTTAAACAAAGGAAGCAAAGATATAACTAATGGCTAGATTATTTTCAAGTTTCTTTTTATTGACATTTTACAGCAGAAATGCTGATACATATATATAGACATATGTAATGCATATTTTTATCTTGTGAATAGTGTGAAGCGGTGAATCGTTACAAAATTTTTAGGAAATTCATTTCTAGCATCACTTATTTTCCCCTAAGATTTAAATTTTTAATCTGTTTTCCATGTTTTTATTCAGAATGTTTACATTACTAGGATGATTTTACCCTTCTATATGACAGATATATGATTTTGAATATTGCTGAATGACAGTTTATTGAAGCTTGCTAATAACCTACGAAAAATCATTGTAGCATATATATATATATATATGTATATAGTACTATTTTTGAGTGTAGAGTGAAAATAACTGAGAAAACAACTGGAAATTTAATAAAAATGTTTCAAAACCATTTCTTTTTTCATTTCCGTCTATTTTTCTCCTTATAGTTGTTTTTAGATTATTTGGGTGTTTTAGCATGTTTACTGAATGCAAATACTGGTTATCCCTCATCACTAGTTGACAAGATGTCGACACTATCTCTAAGAGTGTGTCTGAAAACAGGTTTATGCATGCACACAAATGATCAGTAATTAACTGTGTTTTTAACAGAGAACAAATGTTGACTGACAGAAAAACTTAGATTAGTTGTTCTGTGTAAAAAGTCTTAAACTGTTACACTGAATTCCTCCATTTAGGGTCAACATTTAGCGAGATTGTCAAAAAGAAAGAACAAATACAGAAGTGAATTTATTTATGTTGATGCAGGCATTACTGACGAATGTTAACATGAACTCATTGGTAAAACGAGATTTTTAATCTTTGTTTTCCTATTATGATGAAATTCGGTCTTCGACTTTTGGGAAAAAGAACTTTCGGCTCACAGTAGTAATTTTAATGTTAAAGCCACAAAATATTGACTGTTTCCAATATAAATGTTATACATTATATATATGTATATAAAAATAATAATAATAATAATAGATAGATAGATAGATAGATAGATAGATAGATAGATAGATAGATAGATAGATAGATAGATAGATAGATAGATAGATAGATAGATAGATAGATAGATAGATAGATAGATAGATAGATAGATAGATAGATAGATAGATAGATAGATAGATAGATAGATAGATAGATAGATAGATAGATAGATAGATAGATAGATAGATAGATAGATAGATAGATAGATAGATAGATAGATAGATAGATAGATAGATAGATAGATAGATAGATAGATAGATAGATAGATAGATAGATAGATAGATAGATAGATAGATAGATAGATAGATAGATAGATAGATAGATAGATAGATAGATAGATAGATAGATAGATAGATAGATAGATAGATAGATAGATAGATAGATAGATAGATAGATAGATAGATAGATAGATAGATAGATAGATAGATAGATAGATAGATAGATAGATAGATAGATAGATAGATAGATAGATAGATAGATAGATAGATAGATAGATAGATAGATAGATAGATAGATAGATAGATAGATAGATAGATAGATAGATAGATAGATAGATAGATAGATAGATAGATAGATAGATAGATAGATAGATAGATAGATAGATAGATAGATAGATAGATAGATAGATAGATAGATAGATAGATAGATAGATAGATAGATAGATAGATAGATAGATAGATAGATAGATAGATAGATAGATAGATAGATAGATAGATAGATAGATAGATAGATAGACCACAGCAGGTGTAGCTAATTTTTAATTACAGTTGCTATTATCCCAGTAGACATAATTATGGCTAAAAGTAGGTTTTGACGAGAAACGTTATTAGGCAAAAAGGTTTAGAACGTGCTTTCATGCAACTGGTGTAAAAACCATGCGTTTTAAATGGATTTCATATATATATATATATATATATATATATATATATATATATATATATATAATTTAGATGTAACTAATTTGATCTCCATTTAAACATAAATCTAATTATCTCTTGGGTTAATTGTATGCTGTAACTACAAATAATTAATGTGAATTTTAAGTGCTTTTCAAATTACATGTTAGATATTTCCTTGAAAATTGAATAGAAACGTTCAAATCGGTTAAACAGTAGAGAGGGTACTGTTAGTTACTTATTTAGCAGACATTTTTCAAAATAATTTATGCGTATCATTAATAATGGACCTTGCTTTATGTCACAAATGCATATTACACATCGAAAATATGTTCGCACATTCCCAGCATTAAAATCACTTAGGCTGATAGACGTCAGTTTTTTAAAATGGTTTTGCATTATGACCGATACATTACTGTGTGTCTGTTGTTCCCTCAAATGATGACAATAAAAGAATAAGAGAGATCACAGAAATAATTTTTGAAAGTAAAACTGACTCTGGTTAGTATTATAAGTTAATAAGGTAATCTAGAAATCATTTTGAATTCATAGATCAGTATTAACACTTTTTTGGTTCAACTACCTGAAATTCTTGCAGTTAGAAGATATTTCTCCATTAGTCTGTTTAATGAGAAGGTTAAAAAAAGGTAAAATCGTTAACTTCTGACTGTGACAACCTTTGTCTACATTTCTACACAAGAAAATGAATGCTTTTCTTGTGGAGGTATAATGCATCAATCGATGTTTTTGTTTGTATGTGTGTTTGTTGAACTTGATGGTAAGTGACCCAAGATTTTGTAGCCATGACTATTTTGTAATAATTCCTAGGGAATTTATGATTCATAACTTTTCATGACTGGAATACACGATGTTTTCTTTTCCTTTTCAGTATAAATTTCCATCTCACTTCAGTTCAGATTTGAAAGATCTTCTGCGTAATCTAATTCAATCTGATTTGACCAGAAGATTTGGAAATCTGAAGAATGGTGTACAAGATATTAAATCTCACAAATGGTTTTCTCATTTGGATTGGTTAATGATATTTAAAAAAGAGGTAAGCATTTGAATGTGTACAAATCATTTTCAGTGCAGATATTATTCAAAATTCTAGTATTAAAAGACATACTAACAATTATCTGGGCCATTTAAATGTATCCGATCACAGATTACGTTTATTGTATTCACACAGACCAGCCATTATTTAGTCCTCACAGATTGTCACTATGAGCCACACTGAACAAAATGCATTTTTTTGTCAGTTGTGGAAATGAAAAAAATTAGAATTTTCCCGATGGCATGTGAAATGATGTCATGTTTGTTCTCTGTCGATGTCACTTTTACTTTTATCGAAAGCCGTGAAAAATCTTGTTTGAAAGTTGGCAGGTTCCAGTAAGAGTGAAAATGACAAACACTCTATATAAGTGCGAATTTTACATCAGTTTCAATAGTTGTTTACTTTTTCAGTATTTATGAAGCATCAACTGACTGTTCATTCAAATGCTCGTTAGTTTAACCGGAATGACTGTCTGAGGCGGATATTTTTAACGACTGTTATTTATTGATTTATGAAATCTTATTGAAGTTAAATTATTTCATTTCAGTAGTCAGCTGACGGGCACGCTTCACAAAATTTATACGATTTGCGGCTAGTAGTTCCACTGCAAATTTTACTTCTCATCACCATTGAAAAATACGGATTGTAGATGAATTCTCATCTAAAGTTTTGGAAGTCATGATGATACGATTGACTTTATGCATTTATGGCGACATTTCAAACATATCTCTTATTGAATTGTTGAAATCAACCAATCAGAATATATTGAGACACTATTCTTCATAACCACCAGGTGTTAAATAGAATGTGAAAAATTCACATCAAAGGCTGATTTTGTCTTTCATATATATGACCCAGATTTTAACCTCTGAAGTTACTTTCCCTCCCCTCTTTAAAAACCATCGACATTCAGTCCTCATATCTGAGCAGTTTTACTGAGTGATGATGCTCGCCGATAATACACATGGTCTGGGGTTCGATTCTCTGCCGACGCACGCCTGAATACAGAGGTTGGCCTGCTAAATTTGGGCTACAGATATCATATGCTGAAAACTCCATAGTTGTACCAAAGATACTGTGTGGAATCAGGATAAAATAAAAATTCGAAAAAAAATAGGTTTTTGATTACAGGATTTCATCGTGAGCTGACACTAGTTAGAGAACCACTGGAAAACCTGGAGAGTACTTGACAAATGTTTCACCCCAGTTTGGGGCTCTTCAGCAGTGCGCACCCAACGGGGTTCGAACCCAGGACCTTCTGGTTACAAGGCGAGCTTGTAAACCATTAAGCCACTGGGACCTGAACCAATGACCCGTCACATGCTGAAAATTCCATACCTGTACCAAACAATACGGTGTGGAATCAAGCTGTAATCGAAAATATAATAAATAACATTAAGCATGTATTATCCTGCGTATTGACGTGATATTTATCAAGATTTTTATCGCCTAAACATACTGAATCAATGTCTTATAAAGCAGAATAAATTAACTTCAGGTGCCACGCATTCTGACATTATGGAAAGGAAGTAAAAATTATAATCCGCCGCTCATTAAGACTGATTGCAATGCTCTAATAAGAAGTTGTGAACAGCAGAATCCATCTAGTCACAGGTCGGGACAGATACTCTCTGGTAGCATTAGATGACAACGGCGTTGTATGGTGAATTGAAAGGAGTTGTGGGTAGGCGGCTGAATTCCAGCACAGTGACTGATTTATCAACAGAATTGTTTGGTAACCCGACGGCAGTCTGTTCAGCTACTGGTAGGGTCAAAGGTGCACAGTTCTGACAGTTGTCCACTGTCCCCTGGTTCTCAACAGTCCTTAAAATGATGTTGATTAGAAAAGAAATCTACCTTGAAATAGGTTAAATCCCTTCAATTCAATACATGAAAAGTAGAATGTCGAACGTAATGATATTCACCATTGGCTCTATAATCAATATCCAGACTAACAGCTCTAACTATCAGTTACTACACTTATCCTATCTAGCCGTAAAATATCCAACTGAAACTACTTCTTTCAACAGTGCAGTAGGTGAAAGATGCATTAGTTCAATATACATCACGAATTACTTAAATCACTTCTATCACTATGGTCTCCAGGTGATTACAGTACATATTTTTTGTTTGACAAAAGTTACAAGATACCATCTTAGACTGAAAATAGTTTGACAAAATGAATTTTAGTCACAATTTAATACTCCATTTCTAGACCGCGTCTTAATATACTTGACTTATTAGCGTATATTTGCTTCTTCACTTCACAGTGCTGTTGCACTAGAGTTTGTGTTAGATACAATAATATCAACAATTATGGATAAATAGGTGAACAAGTGGTATTACAGTGTTGTCAGAATGCCTAACCGTTCATGTAAAAGTGTAATGTCATCTTCGAACTAAGAGAGCATAATTTGATATTCATAGCAATTTCTTTGATTTCAAGTCGACCAGAGTTGCTAAGTAAGATGACTTACACATAAATTCAAACATTTTATTAACCATTTTCATTGGGTTAAATAGTTAACGTTAGTTGTATGTTGTTCAGAACTTTCAGAGGGCAAATATAACCTTGTCTATACCTGAGTTTGTTGTATCCAACATTCACTTCTCTTCTTTATGGTTGTAGACCTTTTAGTATTTGATACTATCGGTCGACCCTATTCTCCCTAGGTTATCACAAAATGATTTTTTTCAAAATGGAATAATCAACAAATCGCACCAGTCATGAATCTGCCTTGGAAATCAACAAAACAACCAAAACATTAGTAGCTATATTCAATATTTTGATGTGGTTTTGTTCTCTGAGCTGGATGGTTAGTTTGCAAAGCTTTCATCACCTCACTGGGTGACATCTTCAGCGCATACTTCAATTTGAAGTGAGCTTTTAGATTTCTCCACGAGTTTATTAATCATCTCTCCTGGTGACCTTGGACGTGATTGGTTGTTTGTGTGTGTTTTCACACCTTCTAGGTTACTTGTATTGGAACCGGTTGTTTCTTTGACTTGAACTTTGACCCTTTGTGTATAACCTAGAAGGTGTGAAAACACACACAAACAACCAATCACGTCCAAGGTCACCAGGAGAGATGATTAATAAACTCGTGGAGAAATCTAAAAGCTCACTTCAAATTGAAGTATGCGCTGAAGATGTCACCCAGTGAGGTGATGAAAGCTTTGCAAACTAACCATCCAGCTCAGAGAACAAAACCACATCAAAATCATCCACCTGAGCTACAAATCTTCTCTATTATATTCAATATTTTTACCACTGTATTGATGCGTTTCAGATGAGAAACACCTAGAAATGTGGGCCAGACGTAACTGTTCCGGTCAAGCAGGTTTTAGTGAGTAGGCACATATAGTGCAACTTTAGACAAGCTGAAAAGCCTCTTGAAATATTTCACATATATTATTCTAATACCTTGTTGTCAACATTTAATAACGCTCAAAGTCTCTCAGAAATCATTTGAATTACCTTATTTTTTCCTAAGTTTTTTCTTAATTGGTCCAAATGGTTGTCATCAATATAAGAATAAAACTTGTGCACTGTGGTAGAGTATAATTCCATTACGGGTAAATTTTTGTTTTGATAAGTCTTACAGTGTTATACAGTAATGTTTACTGATGACGTTTCGAGCACAATTTATTGCTCATAATCATAACCATAATCTACCCATAAAGCAAATGGTTGTCAGTTATCACCCGGTTCTAAATTTATTTTACATAACTCTCGCTTATCTCCATGTGTCAATTTTCTTGCATTAAAGATGTAACTACAGAAATTTGCTGGTTATTAACCATTTTCACCTCGACTTCTAGAGCTTATTAGAAAGAGCATTGGACCCTATCTGTTTAAGAATCGCTATCGTTGTTAAATAAAATCTACGCAAACTCCTTTCTAATTACACATCAAACACTTTTATTGATGGGTAAAACGCATGAATCCTACTTCCATTCAGTAATATATACATGTATAACAGTATGATATGGTTGCCGAAGTAAAATATTACTTGTGTATTGGTTAAATAGTTTCATTTACTGAATATTTCTCCTAACACTATCTACTGTTCTTGGGCATAGTGAAATATTTTAATTCCTTATTCTACTAACTTCCTAATTACCTTTTACTATTAGCTGTTTTCTGTAAAGAAAATTGTTTGTAGCCTTGATTTTCGCAAACCTATTCTAAACCGTGTAATCTTTATAGAAAAGCTAGCAAACATACAATGAAGAACATCACATTGTGTTGTATGCATATGAATTAAGCAATTCATTACCTTTCTCATGGATGAATATCAAAACAACAAATGAATTTCTAATGGCTTATTTTCTCTTATATAATTTGGTTTCACCATCATTAAGGTGAAGGAATTAGATTCCCATGAATTCTCTTCTGCTTTCTCATAACTGTTCATAAGCAGTTTTCAAAAAGTAAATTTTCTATCCGTTCGTTAAATTTTATCGATTCTTAACTTTATAAGGCCGTATCAATATTGACTTTCGTTCATTTGGACTAGTACGGACTAATGTTATGTTACCCAATTTAGAAACTGAATAAGCCTGGGCAAAAGCGATTTCTTACTTTCGAAAAGCAGTATCATTAAACTTTTTTGTTTTCGCCCTCCACACTTTTTATAGTTCGTTGACTAAGAAACTAGGAAGGGCTTAAGAGAAAATAATAACGTTCATCTTGAAAAACTATTCTGACTTCATCCTAGGGAATGAACTTCTTTATGTTAACTGTGCATTTATTATCCTGTTGACAAAAAATCTTTGTCATCGATACTACTGCTCTAAGTACAATAAATACCAACAGATAAACCGAATTACTGAGGACCAGAATGAAGCATTTTCGGTGTACCAAGAATATTCTACTCATATTCAATGGCTTTTTATTCCAACAAGTAGAAGGAGCAGCAACGGAAAACCTATTAGGTTTTATGATAGTCAGCAACTCTGTCTCTTACCTAGAAAGTACTAGATAGAAGTCTGAAACT